TCCTTTATGAACATCTAGTCGTACCCAAGTCCATAAAAAAATGCTCTTCAGAAATCTTTTAGACAGTTTTCCACTCTGTTACTATGCAAATATCGTGAGGATTTTCGAAATCAGTTTTAATCATATATAGAGTGTCTTTCGTACGAACTTTTTATAGGCTTCTCTTACTCTAAAAAAAACGGAGAATCGTGGAGGCTAATTAAGTCGAAATCTGACGAAATTCATTTTGAAAACCCCCCTTTGATTATACTGAAACAGGAGTAAGGATAACGTAACCTATGATATGAAAATTAGGAAAGTATAGAAGACGCATGCATACTGTTTTCATTCGTTAAAATTGTTCCGAATTTCGCTTAATTCTGAAAAATTCTGAAAAATATTCTCAATTTTAAGTCAACAAGTGATGTTCCTTATAAAGGGAATAGAGAGCGTAGGGATATCTCGGTGAATGTCGAAGATGCGGAATATACATCGAGAAATTTCGAAGATCCATCTATTCGTAAGATATCCCTTGCAACCAATTAAGTTAGAATATAGATTAAGATTCGTGTTTCTCCATCTTTTCAAACTTATTACAATATGTCACAATTACTAGTTTCTTTCATAAAGAAGGCACATTTACAGCACGTAGTAACCAGAGATGTTGACGGTTCACGGGCAAGGTGTTTTCCCATTTTACGAGTTTCACGGGTCGGGCTATACTTTTACGTGCACCCGCTGATTCAACCCGTTTACAAATTTTGCATTTCATTCTTTTCATCTTTCTTTCTACACATGTGTACGTTCATTATTCACACCATTTCTTCGCTCTTCCACTGGTTTAGTTGCTTTTACTATTACTTTCGTTCTCCAACACTTAGATTCTGTCTATCATTTTTTTTCACTTCATAGTCGTACTAATCATTCATCTACTTGTTTTGAAGCAGATGCATATAACGGATGACGCAAAAATTCTGTATTGATTCTGTTTTTGGTATAGGGCTATGATGGAGAGTCGCAGGCTTAATTTTTTTTGTTAGGAAAAGCAGCTTCTAGTGCAAAAATTTTCAAAAGAATTCGATTGGAACTTTTTTCAAAAACCACAAATATTTTTAAACAAAAAGGCTATAGAAAACTCTTCCGCAACCATTTTGAACTTAGAAAAGATTTCATCGAATTAGATCGTGTATATGTTTATACGCCGAATGTGAGTTGTACAAGTTAAGGATATGGCATTGTTGTTCTATAAAAAAAAGGAAACTGTCTACATGTTTTATAACGGTCAAAATAAATGCTTTTACGATATCCCTTGGTATCAATGCTTTTCATCTCTGCCGATTACAGTCGAAAAAATGAAGTCTATTCTGAAAGAGAGGTTGTCAGAAGCTATACATTTCATATGAAAAAGAAAGCCAATTGAGTTCTCTCTCAAACTATATTATTTGGAAAAAGATAGAGATTCTCTATGACAAATATTCAGCCACAAATTTTTTTTCGCTTTGTGCAGCCTCGATCGACCAAAATAAGTTTTTTGATCTCATTGTCTGTGATCTTTTTTTTTGTATACTAGAACAATTCTTCAAATATTACATGAAAGCCTTTATTCTAATTGACAACTATATACGTGTATATACAGTGTTTTAAAAGGTCGAAAGTGGATAATCAACAAGATCAAAGAAATATATTTTGATAAAAAAATTATGATCGAAGTTGCGAAAGAGTTTTCCAAAGTCTTCTGTTTTGAAATATTTCTGGTGTTTCAAAAAAAATTTCCAAACAAATTCTTCCATGAATTTTTGCAACAGGCACTTGCTCTTTGTAACAAAAAAATTAAGTCTTTACGATATTTCATCACAGCACTATATCAAAAACAAAATTAATACAGAACTTTTGCATCATCCATTATACATGCGCTTTTCTCTCTAAGTTTAATTATAGGGTGTGAGTGAAAACAAGAGTCACATGCACAACACTCTTTAGAGAGCGTCCATGAGAGGATCGAGTATTCGAGGCACTCGATAAAATTTTTTTTTTGATTTTTTTGCTCATTAAACGCATTAATGTCTAAAACCATCGACCCCAAAATTTTAGGTTTCAATACCTTTCCTTTGAAAATTTAGCCAATATCAACTTTTGGCACTATCGTACCTTTTGAGGAAAAAAAAAAGAAAAAAAATTTCCTACAAAAGCTGTGCTAACTTGCGTTTCAACAGGTCATTGAAATTTTTCATGGTATATACCAAAAGACAGAGAATTAAAAGCTGAGCAAAATGAGCTACATGAATGTAATATAATGTTTAGCAACTCATGTTTTATAAAGCCAACATGAGTCAAAAGGGGTCTTTTTGATCAGTCCAAGTACAATAATGTACCCGCTGCTGTGTCTCAGAATCAAGAGGGTTCAAGCTGAATTTTACATATGTTGTGCAGCTTTTTTTTCTCTACAAGATGGTAAAAAAATATTTAAAAACAAAGCGCATACTCGGTGCCAAACGGGGCGTACACCTCCTGATTTTTGAAGATTTTTTATGGTTTTTCAATGAAAAATAAACATTTTTAGCGGTTTTCATTGCCATGACCAAATGTTAAAGCAAAATAAATATGATATTCTGAATCAACGTCAAAAACTGTATCTAATCATATACTTTTTAGCGAAAAGTTTTTCCTGTCCAAAGCTAACCTGTGGGGGACCAAGGAGAAAAATTTCTCAAATATGGCTGTGGGGAACCACAGGCTAGTTTTGAATAGAAAAAAATTTTCGCTAAAAATTATACGATTAGATACAGTTTTTGACGCTGATTCTGAATATCGTATTTATTTTGCTTTGACATTTTGTCATGGCAATGAAAATCTCTAAAAATGTTCATTTTTTATTGAAAAAACATTAAAAAAAACCATCAAAAATTAGGCGATGTAAGCCCAGTTTTGCATTATTGTGGAAATTTTTTTTTGAGTATTTTTTTATCATTTTGTATTAAGTTTAAGAAATACTACGACTATAGTTTCGACCTTTCTCAAGGGTCAATCCTCAGATAGTTTTAGCACTGCATAATTTTATAGGTTAAATTGAAAAGAACGAATTCTTCCTACATCTAATTTATAAACTGCAAAGCAGAGATTTCTTATCTGGTACGATCAACCATGACCGCTTTCGACTTCGCTGACAAAGAAGTACTCCTCAGATGGTTGAATTTCATCAAGAAGATAAAAAACTGCTCTGTTATTACTCGCAAGTAATAGTGTCAGTGTACTCAAACAAAATGTTTAAGTACAAGCAACCGTGACCAGTTTACGTTGTTTTTTTCTGGAAAACTAATAGTTTTGTAATTGGTGATTATTCTTGTTCTTAGGGTCATAATGATTTTTCCGATAGTGTTTTGTCGTCAATATGAAATGTTTTATGGGTTATCTAGAACGGAAAAACTATTAGAGAATTAGTCGATTGTCCGTATGAGATTATGTGCTCATGAAAGAAAATGATTTGATTTTTTTGAAAGTGCTTTTATTGGAATAGGATGAGTATGAGTTATACAGGAATTAAGATGAGCATTTTGCAGTTCCATTAAATGAGAAGTTCTTCCAGCTACAGTTTATGATCATGTTGTGGGTGCAGTTATTGGAACAGTATCTATTGAGTAAGTTAATGATAATTATATCATGATGGTTTTTGTGGCTGAGGAGAAAACGTTAATACTTACTGACATCGTCTTGGATGTTTATCAATGAACGACGAGGTCGAGTTTCTATCAATTCTAATTTTGCATTTCGTCTGTTTCGACTACCAACAATTAGTTTGACGTCACTAAGGTCGGAATTGCCAAATAGTGTTTACCAGAGATCATGAATATCTCGTTTGAGAACTCTAAGTCTTTTTTCATAGATTATATATAAAATAAGACGACGTTTGGCTTGTTATACTTTCAACTAAGCTTCGTGTTCACGTTCTTCAGTGGTCATATTGGATCTAGCTATACGCTTCGATCTTTTCTCTCGATCAGCCAGCACTTGGTTGAAGAAGTAATCGTCGACGGATCGAGAAAAACTCCTTTCCATTGTCAATTAATGGTAGTAGTTGCGACGATGACCATGTCGGTGAATATTTATTGAAGAATTTTTTGAATTGAGTGTCAATATACTTTGGTGGATAGCTAGAAGTATATTCCAGAGTGGGGGTGTGAGAGTATAGAAGTACCATGATGTTACAATATTTCATCTCAGCAACGAGAATCTTCAAATGGCAATTGTTTCGCTCCAACTTAATGAATCAGGAACAGACTTCAATCTATAGAATATATAAAAGATATTAGAGATTGAGAGCATCACACGACGCGTTTCGACCTTGGTTAAGGGTCTTCATTAGTTATGCTGCTCCTTGCAAGCTATTTCAATGATGGGAAAATCACAAATAATAAAGATTGATGGAGTTTTTGAACTCTAAATTCTCTGAGGAGCCAACATTAAAGTGTTAGCCATGTTTACATAAATAGAATCTTTATCAGGTTAGGAGGAAATGGATCGAAACAAAAAAAGGAGAGTGTGAGTGGGCATGTGCGTGTGCGTGTGGATGTGCATTTTTGGCTGACACTAACACCGACATCGACACCCATACCACCCACGTTCACATCCACACCCACAAATCCTTTGGAGTTTCCTGAAGTATCTTTTATTTAGAATGCATTTCTCCACTGTTTGTAAATCCAATGTCAAAAGAAGTCTCACTCACTTTCACTCATGCTACATCCGGAAAGAAATTCAATACAACTTCTGAATGTCCAATCGATTTCTCTGGAAAGCAAGACGGAAAATACACTGCAGAAGTAAATTTACTTTTTGGAGCAGAACACTTCGAATTACTTCATTTCACTGTGACTAAAACCAAGGATACGATTAGTCAAAGCTTCATAGATTTGAAAATCGTCCGCGTGGAAATTCAATTTTTCTACAAGGATGAATCGTTCTCAGCTGCAGATGTCAACGGCACATTCATACTAAAAAGTGCTTCAAGTCCTATTAAATTTTCAATGAAAACCTCTGTAACAGGTGGTATTTCTTTAGTTTGTCCTGAAGGACGTTTGCATATTGAAGCTAGAAAAGTAGTGGATGGAAACGAAGTGAAGCTTATACAAGAATCCTCTATTAATCATCCAAATCCTATTAATAATAAACCAGAAATGGATCAAACAAAGCCGATACGTCTAATTGTGAATCAGCATTCGAAAAAAGTTTTTCATGAAATCCTATATTCTCATTCTGCTGCATTTGTAGGAGATTGTTCTGGTTCGATGTCATCGAATAATAACATTGAGAAACTTAAACGCAGTTTTTTAGATGTTTGGGAAGCTGCTAAAAAAGATGGCTTTGAGACAAAAATCGCTTTCACTTCTTGGAACACACAATCTTACTTTTGCAAAAAATCATGGCTTGTTTTATCAGATGAATATAAAGTTAAAAATTGGATTTCTAATCTTAGAGCCGAAGGTGGTACTGATATGCAAACTGGAATTATGGGTGCGATTAATACATTTTCACCTGTAGAAAACATCATCACTATCTGTGACGGAGACATTACTCCTTTTACTGTCGAATCTTGGAGAGAATTCTGTTCTCGCTATCCAAAAACTAATTTTCACTTTGTCGCTGTTGAATCGGGCTCTGATTATAAGACTATGCAGGAAATGGCTGCGATTGGAAATGGCTCCTTCACTGGAACGAACATCTAGAATATAGCAAAAAGTCGAAAAACAGACAGACCTATTGCTCCAAGAAAAGGCCAGCTTAATTTGCTTGTGCCAATTTTTGCTTTTACAACGGTCAATCTTTGCTGAAGTAATTAGAAGTTTAGCTAGAGTGTTCAATTAAACATAAACGTGCAGTTATTTTCTCAGATTCATTTCCCATTATTTCTTTGGAAATAAACACTCATCAGGGTGTGAGTGAGGGTGGGATGTGGGTGTGGGTGTGATTGCGGGTGTGGGTGTGGGTGTGGGGGTGGGGGTGGGGGGGGGGTGGGGGGCGGGTCGGGGGGTGGTGGCGGGGGGGGGGGG